GGCCATGCGCACCTTATTCCAGCGGTGGCCTTTATTGTAGATAGGCTTGACAGAGTGAGGGGACCACCGGGTCAGGTACCTGTTGGAGGGAGGACCAGAAAGTGGCTGAGGGCTGGGGGCCCATGCTGGAGCTGGGAGAGTAGGCACTGCCTCCTCAGGCCAAAGCTGTGGTTGTCCAACCAAACCCTTCCTCTAGTTTTCCTTCTTTGAGGAGCAGCGGCTTTTCCTGGGAGCAACTGCGCAGTGTGCTGTAAACAGATGGGCTGGGTTCTTGTTGCCGTAAGCGTGTGTGGCCAGGGTCAGGCAGCCCAGGGCCACAGGCTCCCTTGATCTTTATGAGTTGTCAATGTTTATGTGTATTTGCTGGGGGAGGAGGCAGAGGAATAGGCTGCTCAGAGAGCAGATCATTCCTCTCTGGCCTCAGCCATGGGGAGAGAGGCTGATGTAAGGGCCTGGAGGAATCCTTCCCTCTTCCCCACTTGGCTCATTTTATCACCCCAGCCTTCAGGGAGCTCTCCTGGGCAGCCATAACTGGTGTAGGACCCCTGCCCCTCACTCAACCCATGATGGGAGCCAAGGGTGAGGGCTCATGGGGGGTAAGTAGGAGAGGGTGGGGAAAGATGGCTGCCACCCGCAGTCCTTTGGCCTCCTTTGGGGATGGCCAAGGCGCAGATAGTTCCCGGAAAAGTGGCTCATGCCGGCTGGGATTGGGGTTTACTCCATTCAGAATGAAACCTGGATTCTGTCCAGAGAGGCCCACCCTTCATCCTAAAAGCTGAGCTATGGCAAAGGCCAGGATCTTTCCCAGCCTCCACTCTAGGTGGCGACTCAACCCAGCCACCTCTAAAAACTCTCAAATGAGATTTTTAATAATAATAATAATAATAATAATAATAATAATAATCACACCCTTGGATGAAAATTTTTAGATAAAAGTGAAAAAGTGACTGCTGACTTAAACATTTCAACTGAGTTCCCTGGACCATGACCTTTCTGCTCTCAGCCCTGTGCAAAGGAAACAGCTCTGAGGGGAGTAGAAAGGGGAGGTGCTGGCCTGCATGCTAAGTGTGAGGTGGGCAGGCAGGGGAGGACTTCTCTGAGTCTCCTGTCAATGTCAATGTTCCCAACAGGGAGACTTCTGAGGAGTGGACTGGCCCCAGGGACTGCTTTTTCTATGGCGGGTGGTGCTGGGACAGCAGGGGAGTAAAGGGTAAGGGAAAGAACACCTGGAAGGCCCCTGGGCTTACATCTTCCAGTCTCCAGAGGGAGTGGGTAAAGAGATAGGGTGTGGAAGCTGGTTCCCCAAAAGGAGTGCTTATTGGAATTTCAGGACCCCAGAAGATCCACCAGGCTGACCAGGTTCTCCAGAGCTGCTGCCCTAAAACTGTTCTTCCCCTCTGCCCTGGAGAGACCTGAGGAAGCTGGGCTTCAGCTAGCCCTGGGCCTGATGCCTGTGCCACATGAAACAGCCAGCTGGTGGGGAGGGGTGCCTGGGTGGCCTCCAGTCAGCTTTTTGGGAAGATTCCAGCTCTAGGAAGAACCAAGGCTCCTTCCTACCTCTCCTGAAGGGGCAGGGGAAGGAGGAAGTGGGGCTCCCCTGGGGCCCAAAGCCCAAGGGCCTCTGGATAGAATCATAAAGTCCCTTGCAAGGGAATCAAACTCCCATCGTAGCAAGGACTCCCCCTCCCCCACCCCGAGTGGCCTTTTGCAACCCAAGAGCCCCCACACATCATCAATCCTGTGTCACGTTAAAGGACACCGGATATATGGGAGGGAGCCTGGCCTCACTTCAAAGGCCTGAGGGCAGGATGGATTGTGTCCTTAGGCCTGCTGCTGTCTCTTAACAAGTCAGGGGGTGGGGGTAGGTTCAACCCCCAAATGGTCCAAAGCACATTTGGGAAAGACAGGAAGAGGTTACTAGATCTTGATCCCCCAGGGCTGCTGGCAGATGGCCCAGGGAGCAATGTGGGAAGGGCAGGTGGAGCCAGGCATGGGCCAGGGTGGGGCGAGGCATCAATGAAAACGCAACTCTCGCCCTGCACCCCTAGCCCAGCAATCTGTGGCTGGTATCTGCCTGGACTCCTACCCTCATGCCTGGGTTCTGTTGGGGATGCACACTAGGTTTGCTAGGGGGTGGGATAAGTCTTGCTTTGTTGCAGCCATCTTTGGTCCTGTACAGAGAGCAGTTGCAGTGGCAGCTAGACAGGCTGAAAGGGGGAGGAACTGTTGACAGGGAAGAACAAGAATAAATACCAAAATCAATTTTACAGACCTGGCTCTACTCTCAACAAGGGGGTATTATCGATCTAGGAGTATGTGAGTGTGGCAATGTCAGAGATGGGGGAAGGAAAGGAACATACAATAGGATGACTGTTTGAGTGTGAGACAGGTCTGCTTCTACACTGGAGGGTGCCACCCTGGTTAGGCCAAAAGACAGACTGATTTGATTCCAGGATCTAGGGGCCTTCCTCCTAAAGCCTCAGGACCTCCTGGGTCACCATGTGCAGCCGTGCAAGTTAAGTACACAACTCTAGGGAGCACCATTCATAGTCTAGTCTATATAGATACTGCCTTGAAGTTTTGCAGTGTACAACTTGCACAGCTATATACAGTGGACCCACCCCAGAGAGCCCTCCCATTTTTAAAGCCTCATTTTGCCCTTTAATAACCCCAGTGCTGGAATACTAAAAGTTTGAAGTGCTCTGACATTCCCATAGCAACCCAATATGATGTCATAAACAGGGGATTAGCACATTCTAATGCCCAACCAGCAGACCTTCTAACCCTCCCTGCCCCTGTGCTAAGTGCCCTACTGGGGAGGGAAGAGGAAAGAGGCTGAGGTCAGCAGGGGAGGGTGAGAGAAGTGTGCACACCATCAACTGCAGCCGCAGTGGGACTGATGGGGGTGGGTGCTCAAGCTGGATGGGATGGAACAGCCAGCCAAAGAATACTCTAGCTTTCCTGAGCTGTGGGATGAGCTCCAAGAAATGGCTTCTTCAGCAGAATACAGTGAGAACAGGGGGCCTGCAGAATGCTCAGGGTATTGACACCCAGGTGTGCTTACCGGTTGAGTTGAGGCTTGCTTTTGGGAACAAATCCTTCAGGAAGTGGAGGCCTATGATTTGGTAACAGACCTGAGTGGAGGGAAGAGCATATAAGGAGATGGTCTCTGCAGCTCCCTCTGCAGCTCTTGGGGGCCACAGGGAAAGCCCAAGGGGTGGAAGGTTGGCACTGGGGGGAGGATTATAATGAAGACTGTGGATGTCCATTTTTCTTTCAGGAGGGGCTACAACATGGGGCAGCTGGCAGGGGGGTGGGGGAGAATGGCGCCTATAACCCTCTATCCCTCTTAGCAGCAAGGGGAATTCTACCTGCTCGGTGGGCCATCTTCACACACTCCTCAATCTTGCGGTGCTCTTCCTGGCACAGGCCTGTGATCCTTCGGGGCAGCATGCCTCCATGAGGCCGGATAAACTGACTGAGCAGCAGAACATCCTAGTGGAGACAGAAATTATGAGATGAGGGTCAGCTGGGTGGATACTTGATGCTGGGAAGCCAGGCCACATGACCTATGGGGAAGGCTGTCGACCCTGGCACACCAAGAGGTTGAGGTCTCTGTTGGGAACTGACCTGAGACCACTCCCTCCACACTGAGCTTTGCACACTGGTCTACAACCTTCACCCTAACAAAAGTTAAATCCCAACTTAATAAGATTTTCTGACCCCATTGCTAATCCTAAGAGCTTTTAGCTCCTTGATGAGATAATCTTTTGATAGACTGGGTTAGAGAACAGAAACTCTTCAAGAAGTGTTAATCTTTCGTGCACCTGCAGTATCTTTCCTGGTGACAAAAAGTCTGTTATACTCCTAGGGTAAGGCAGAGGGTATGTCATATATTTTCACACACGAGGGAAAATCTATACCATTTCTGCCCCCAAACCCAATGTGCCACAGGCCAGAATACACGTGGACAGTCCCTCCACCTTCTGCCACTCCCTCTAAAGTGCTAAGCAGCATACAAGCTGAGGAAGGGACCAAGGCTGTGAAGTTAAATCCGTATCTTCTAAGCCCATGACTAGATGTGAATGGATTCTCAGGCTTCCTTTGGGCCATCAAACTGCTTTGGAAGAATCAAGGAAACAAGGATAAAAAGAGCCAGAATCAAGACAAGAGATCATTTCCCCCCTAACTTTCACAGGATGGCTGAAGGGTTAAATAAAAGCCACCATCTCCCACTCCTCCCTCCCCCTGAGGGGCCTGGCACGCCAGTCTTAGCAGCCATGTCCATAAACTGACTTGCTGCCCTGGCAGGCGCCTAGCTGTATAACCGCAGATTTGTTTTAATCACTGGACAGCTCCTGAGGGACCCAGACCCCCCAATTCCCACCCCTGTAATCTTCAGAATCTGATGAAAAGAACTTGGATTGGATTATCCAGGGCTAATAAACCAGGCTCACAGCCCCAGCCTCCCCCACTGCAGGCTGCCAAGGAAGCTGACAGCTTTGTGCAGCTCAGGCTAACAGTATCCTGAGTAGAAAGGGGTAAAAGGAAAACAACTTTAGCCTTTACCTTGGAGGGGATTGGATTTCTTCTGCTGGATAAACAGAGCCAAGTTTATTTCTTGGAAACGGCTGGTGGGAAGAGTGCCCCATGGTGGTCAGGCAGGTTCACCTCCCCATCTTCAGCTGGGATTCCAAGTATGGCCACAGCCCCACTAGCTTCCATGTAACAAGCAGCTGTGAATATTGCCCTGTGGCCTGCAAGCTTCCTATTACTCCAGGTAGCCATCAGCAGAAAGACCCAGGGCAGAGTGAAAGAACACCCCCTCTCCCCACCCTCAGTGGCCTAAAGCCAAGGCTCCCAGCCCAGGAGATTAGTTGGGTCATTCTGTTCAGATCCCATGGGCATGTGGCCTCCTCCCCTGCTCTTACCACCTGACCGGGATCTCTGCCCTTAGTCATCCCATTCCACAGAGGGGCAGAGGGACAACCTGCAGATCAAATTGGCCCAGAGCCTGAATCACCTGAAACCTAAAAATAGGGTGCTTAATGTCACCAATAGAACTCTGAAGGACAAGTATGAATTTCTCCAGGGCTGTGTCCTTTCCCTCAGGCCCTCCCTATTTCTAGAGAGGATGCAAAGTAATAGTTGGGATGGTAGTCTCTGCATGGGGTTTATATCCACAGAGTTTGAATCTTAGCTCTGATACTTACTAGCTGGGTGATCTGAGGCAAGTTCATTAACTTCTCCATGCCTCAAATTTCCTTACCTGTAGAACAAGGATGAAAAAAGTACCTATTTCATAGTGATATTGTGAAAACGAAGTGAATGAAGACATGTAAATGCTTACAACAGAGCCTTATTCAGAGCATGCACTCAATGCAAGGTACCTATTGTTATTCACTGTCATCATTCTTCATGGAAACAGATGAAGAGCTAGAAGAGCTGGAGCAAACAGGGGTCTCTATAGCTCCAATACAGAGAGAGACAATAATGTGTCCTCAGATCACAGTTGAGGTTTTTCCAAATAGCCTCTCATTATAAAAGAAAACCAAACTCAGATCCTGATTCCATCCCCTTAGGAACACAACCCTGCAAGACTGGGGTACAGGGCCCTGGTGGTCTGACTCGCATGCAACCAGACAATGAACTAAACAATTCTCAACCCTGGCTGCACATGAGAATCACCTGGGGAGCTTTAAAAAATAATGATGGCCAGGCTTTACCTCAGACCAACTGAATCAATGTCTGGGGGTGGGGCCTGAGCATTTTTTAAAGCTTCCCTATAATTCTAATGTGCAGCCAGAGTTGAGAGCCACTGAACAAAATGCTTGTCTTTGGTGGCCCCATGAGATGCAGCAGTGGCTATGGGGGAAGGGGAGTGGGGAGCAGTGATGCTGCTTAAGTTAAACAGGAAATATGACCTCTGTAACATGCAGAGCCCAGTGTCTTTGCACACTCACCTCATAGCCATACTTGTGCTTCAGGTTCCACCGGCAGATGGGGCACTGGCCAGAGGGGTTAGGGGGATTTGGACTTTCCTGGGGAGTGTCTGTGATACGGCCTTCAATCTAGGAGGCAGAGAAAGAGAGCCAGTGAGGGAGAGGGCCATGTGGAATCTCTAACCCTTGAGCAACCCCCAAAATGGTGGGAATGCTGGTGTAACTTCATCTCTGGGAGTCTTGTGGGAACAGGTAATAGGTCTTTCTGCTGGAACTACGGTGGTTGTTCTGCAGTCGCTATATACTGGGCCCTAGGGTGTTCACAGAGAAGTGATTTGGTGGCCTTCAAGGGCAGTGGAAACTGAACTTAATGCTGGAGGCAAGAGGGAGGGGTTTGCTGTATCAGCTGAATGCTACCTTTCCTTCTCACACAAACAAAAACAACCTTTGGGAAGAAGTAATAAATGCACATGGTAAAAAGTTTCAAACTGCGCAGGGATGTAGAGTCCAAAGGAAGTGTCCCTCCCATCCCACATATCCCTCTCAGCGGAAACTGCAGTTTCCAGCTTTATCTTACAGAGCTAAGTCTATGCCAGTGGTTCTTAGCTTGCCATGAGTGTGCATCCCCAGGGGACAATGGAAAATGTCTGAGACATTTTTGACCGTCACAACTGGAAGATGGTGTGCTATTGGCAGCTAGCAGGGAAGCTAACCATCCTACAATGCACAGGACAGCCCTCACAACAAAGAATTAGCCAGCCCAGGATGCCAACAGTGCCAAGGTGAGAAGCCTAGTCTCTGCCTAGCTGAGCAGATATCCGTGTGCACTCCTGCTGCTTCTCTTTCTCTCTCCTTTAAAAACACAGATGGGAGAGTACATTCCCCTGCCCTCCTCCTTGCTTTTATTATTTTGGATGCCACCTTTCCAACCGTGCTGAGGCCGCGTGCAAAATGACCTCTGCTGTGGCTGTTGTATCCTGTGACACAGCCTTGGAATTACTAAGCGCAATAGACCAATGATCTGGGAGTCAGCTCCAATTGCAAGAGGGGGAGTTTAGAAAGCCTTGCTGCTTGAAGCCTTGGATTATGAGAGCGAGGTTGGGACAGTGCTGAGAGGCTTTGGGAGGGGAGGAACACTATTTCCTGGGGTAGAACTGGCAAACAGGAAAGGAGCTGGAAGCAATGCTTGGCCGTGCAGGGCACTGCTACCCACCTTTCTGCCAAGGCCACCACAACTATGCCAAAAAGAAGTGTGTTAGGGAAAATGTGTAGGTGTGTGGCAGACTTGAGAGGGGTTAAGGTGAGCTGTGGGGGGAGAGCTAACATTCACTGACTCCCCGTTATATGCCTGGTTTTGTGCGAATCATGGTTCACATTTATCATCTCATTTAACCCCCACAACCTAGTGAGGGGGAGGCATCATGATCTTACTTTACAGATGAAGAAAGTGAGACCCCAGAGAGTAAGCAATACCCAGTCAGCCAAGGTACCGCCTCTCCAGGCATGGATGGGCTCCTTCCCCCAAGGTTCTCCTATGCCACCAGGTCTCCATGTTCATTCTACAAATAGCAAATTCATGCCCCACATGAAAAACTGTCTTCACACTCAAAAGCCAGATGTGTTTTCTCTCCACCAGCACAGAGTTCACAGGGTGAATGCGTTTCAGCTTTGAATAAGGGAATAAACAAGGTGCCCTAAGGGGATGGGCCCCCCTCAAAAGAACTATTTTGAGGTTAAGCATTGCAAAAGCAGAGAGAGTATTCTGGGGAAGACCCAAAGAGGGAACCCGAAAACCTTGTTCTGGGGATAAGACTGCCTAGGGAGGACTGGACTTGGCTGGCTGCCAGAAGGGTTAAATCTCTGGTTGACATGGAAGTTATAAAGGCTTCTGGGAACTCTGTGGAGTGGCTGCGGATTTCTTGGAGGCATGAAAAGCCATGTGAAAACAACGCTGTCTTTTAGGGATTATAGGATAATCTAGGCCCCATGACTCCTGGAGGAAGGGAGGTGAGATAGGCCCAATGAAGGAAAGGCAGGAGTGGGTGGATCAAGTCATTCTAGCTTTCTTACCAACAGGCAAGTCAGGGTGCTAGCTAGTGAGCCCAGGGTCCAAAGAGTGCCACCTTTTAACTGCATCACTTAAGGAGTAGCTTAGCATCCTGGGCAGAAAGGAAAGGAGCCAAGATCAGGATCCTGGCCCTGGATCAACTTACTCTGGCTTTCTAGTCCTGCCACTGCCTTAGTTTCCCCTTTGGAAAACTAATTTATCACCCTCCAAAGAACATATCAGCCAAGACCTCTGAGATCTTGTCATACAAATGGTCACTTTAATCAAATGAAAGATGCTTCAATCCAGGTACAAATGACTGTTCCTGATTAACCACACAATAGCACAAAGCTTGAAAAATAGTAGACTGAGATTTATGGTCACAGAGGGAGATGATCCTGGAGCTAGGAGTTCAGTTTGGACCTCCCTCCCTCCCTCAGAGGAGCAGCCAGGCAGCTCCAAGTGTTAAAGAGGTTATAAATGGCCAACTTGACGATACTTACTATAGTTGTCTTCCCTTCTTGGATCTCCACCACTACAGAGATAAAGGGGAAAAATTAGGTCAGCCATTTAATAAGGAACAGGGAGTTTCAAATAATAGCTCAAATTCTACATCAGAAAAATGGAGCCTTCAGTCTGCACTCTCCCACAGTCCCCACCTCAAAGAGAAAGCGTGCAGGGTTCACTTCCAAGTGCCAAGGCTCTATGCCCTTGAGGCTGGGTGGGGGTAAGCCCGGATGCCCAAGTAATATCTCTCTGGGATCAAGGATCTCCACACTGTTTTTGCCTTTCTAAGCCAAGGTTCATCTTGGTTCTAAGGAAATTGGCAAGATCCTGCCCTACTGTGGCTAGCAATAATGACCTAGGAGTGTGTATCTGTGTGGGGTGGGGGGCAGGGAGGCAGAAGCATGTAAAAGACCTTCAAAAGTACCCACTGCATGTGTTCTTTTACTAAGAGAATCAGACAAACATAGTTACTAACCTTGAAGAGTTTGCAATCTAAGATACAGTACTGAACTAACACGGCTCCAGTGGCCCTGGGTAGATAAGCAATGAGAAAGTTCACTCCTAAAATTCATCCTGAAAGCCTTGTGTTAAAGCTGTATGAGGAAAACAGTGTGAGTTAAATCCTCTTTCTTTTCCACTCCTTCCAGCAGGGTTGCATTTTGTTATCTATACTGGAGAGGTGTGATAAAAGAGGTGGGAGTGCCCTGGCCAGTGTGGCTCAGTTGGCTGGTGCACTTTGGTTGAAGGTTCAATTCCCAGTCAAGGTATAAGCCCGTGTTGCATGCTCGATCCCCGGTAGGGGGCATGCGTTCGATGTTTCACTCTCACATCAAGGTTTCTCTTTCTTTCCTTCTAAAAACCAAAAAAAAAAAAAAAAAAAAAGTGGGAATAAGGGGCCTGCAGAAATTGGGTCCAGGAAGAAGTTCAAGGAGAATACTACAATTCCAAAGTGAGAGGGACTCCCTCAGCTCTTTGCCTATTTAGGTCTGACAGTCAATAGAGAACCTGAGGGAAAGACAGTAAGTCACACACATCTGTCAGGCTGTACATATTTCCTATCTTACATGACTGAGATGCAGAACGACAACTTCAACAATATTCAAAGGAAGAACCAAGCTAAAAGCCCACATTTGGTGAATCAGTTTCTTTAGAAAGAGAGAAGCTATAGCTGTTAGCTTAGGAACTGGCACACAGCAGATGCTCAATTAATGTGAACTAGCATTTAGGGAACAAAATATTCATCATGGTCCCCTTCTGACTGCTAATTACTGTAATAGAAAACTTGGGCCTACATAACTGCAAACTGTCTCCCCACGTACTAAAATCGCTTTTTAACAGCAGCTTGGCTACCACAATTAGTTTTACTCAGCTCTAGCCAAGGCAAGAATACAGATTAGAAAGAGCAAGGATTTTAGGAAGCTCTCAGACCCCTGAAGATATATACCCAAATAGTAATATTGGTTTTCTCTCAGTGGTGGCAGTAGGTGAATTTAGTTTCTTCTTTATGCCTATCTGTATTTTCTAAAGTTTCTAAGTAAACGTGTACTGCTTTTGCAATAAAAAATAATAGAGTATGTCTAAGGAAAAAAAGTGAGGCAATCCTAACCCAACCAGAGTCCCACAGCAGCGTCTGTGATCAATGAGCTTTGTGACTGACACCTAATTGGACACAGACTGCCTGGAATTGTTCCCCATGTGTTTTCTGGGCAAGGCCATTCATAAAGACTCATTCCTTCTAAATAACCAACCTGAGAGCCCTTCCATTTCCAACTCCAGACACAAAGTTTTACCAATGGCCATAAAGGCCCTGAGGTTTTCTCCCAACACTGTAGTTTCCAATCAATTCAAAGACAAACTAGGTTTCTCCCTGTAAAAGGAAATTTGTCACCCCACACACGGATCTACTTGCTCAGAACATAGACCAGCTTAAACGGGATGTGGGTGAGACTCAACCTGGTGCTCAGTCTGGAGGCCAGCACAGCTGCAGAGGGACTGTCACTGCAATGTATCAACCTATAAATGTGGGGATGCAGGAGGGCACAGCTCCAGCCCAGTAGGGCTTCTAGGCACCCCAGAAACTCTGCAAATTTGCAAAAGCCAAACTGGCTGGAGGGCAACCAAATCTGAGCAATAACAGGTGGGACGAAAGTTTTTAAGAATCACGATAGGAAACCAAAGGAGAAACATTCCGGTACCACTCAAGAGTCAGCACTAGAACAATACCCTGAAACACAAAGCGGATAAACATGTGGTTCCCCTCTCCAAGGAGGCACTTGGGTCCTAATCATGAGGTAAACAAGTCTAACAAAACACACATCACTCCCGGCAAAGAACCAAACCCTGAAGTCATCCCACTGGCCCCTGGAAAAGAGATCAAAGACCATGGCAAGCTCCACTGTTCACAAGCTCCCCACACAGCAACTCTGAGCCAATGAATCATCTTACTATAAGCCAGTGGGTAAAACATTAGGCAGATGCTTATCTGATAGAGACAATTTGTCAAACCAGAAGGAATGACCTGAGAATTCACATGAGATTGAGATTAATCAGGGCAGTTTCTCAGTACTGGGGCAGAAGGCCTGGCTGGAGCCTGAAGAGGCTCTGATAGATTTTAAGCCTCTCAAAACAGGAGATAGGAATCAAAATAGTATTGATTTTCAGTGTGCATACAAAAACATGTCAAAACCAAACAAAACCTGAGATCCATTTTGTCCCTGGCCTCCTCTCCACTTAAGAGAAGTGGGGGTGGCTAAAAAAGCTGGACTAAGAGATTTATGCACTAACAGAAAACTTGGTTAGAAAAAGATGGAATCACCCTTGTGTTCTGAGAAATGGCTGTATCAAGTAAACCCAGGAAAGAAATGAAGCAGTTTTCTAAACTAGAATTAAGGACCAAAATCTTTGAAGATAGGCACTTCTCATACAAATCAAATAATCTGTTCCACAGGAGGCAACACATTTGCTGTGGAGCTTACAGTCCAGCTCCACCTATTGTGGAGAGTTATAACAGAATACGAAGACGGAGTCTTTGCCCTCAGGGAGAAAAGGGAACTAAACCAAGTATGGGAACTTCACTATAATAAAGTCCATGCCTTGTAAAGAGGTCCTTTGAGTGCTTCAGTAAATACTCGTCTAGGATGGAGTCCAAGATAACTGAATTATAACAGTCTAGAGCAAACAGCATTGCGGTGAGATTGCAGTGAACACAGAAAGACCTTGATGGCCACATAAACACAGACACAGTGAACTGCAGCAGTATAAAGACCCAACTGTTTAAGTAAAGGAGGAAGTGAGGAAAGATGAATGAGTGGAGGGCACTGCTACAGAAAGTGCCCAGAGACCAAGGTCCTTCTTGGAAAAGATCCATGGAAACCAAGTCCCAAGCAGAGTATGAAGGAATGGAATAACTGAATGGCAGGAAGGCTAAGAGGTGGTACTGACAGTCTTACAGGGTCAGGGAGTAAAGCATGTGTTTGGGATGCACTTCTGGTAATTAACTACTTTTCTCAAACTCCTTCCTCTCTCAAACACCCCTCCTTTCTGTTCATCTTTAATTCTACCACTGAACTTTTCTGATTCTCTCATCACCTCTCCCCTTCTTTTCCCTTGGACCCCTGAGGGAATGTCCCTCTGCACTACCTTCAGAATAAGGAGTCTTAGTGCTGCACAAAAACCTCTTTCCACTAGCAGGTTACTCTCAATTCTTTAAAGCCCCCAACTTGCTCACTCCTCTCTCAAAGCTTTCAGCTATAGAGCTGCCTTAGCTGAAATGCTATAGCTAACTGTAAAAGATGAAGCAAATTCCCTTCAGCTTGTACTTATACTTTCTTTTTTTTTTAATATATCTTTATTGACTTCAGAGAGAGGAAGGGAGAGGGAGAGAGAGAGATAGAAACATCAATGATGAGAGAACCACTGATCAGCTGCAGTCCGCAACCCGGGCATGTGCCCTGACCGGGAATCGAACCTGATCGCCTGGATACTAGGTCGATGCTCAACCCCTGAGCCACGCCCGGCTGGGCAACTTATACTTTCTGATCTAGGTGTTTGATAGATCATTACTGTAAATTCAGATAATCATGTTTACTTTTCTTGTTTTAAATAATTTCCTTCATAAGAGCACTAAGAATGATAAGGCAGGAATGAGGTCTAACACAATCTTTCCCAAGTCTGGCAGTGCCAACCATAAAGGCACTAAATGGTCTTCAGCAAGTTAAATGATGAGGGCTTTCAGGGAAGGGAGGGAACCACTGGGAAGCCCTGCCACGAGTACCAAGGTGATGTTGCTGGTGGAGAGGGAAGAGCGCTGGCTTTACTTCCAACTCCACACTCGCTAGCTGTGTGATGCTGGGTGGTTACTGAACTCCTCTGGACCTCATTTGTAAAAGCGTCAGTAACATTCACTTTTAAGGATTGTTGAGAAGACTAAATAAATGTATGTGGAAAACCTAGCACTGTGTTTGTAGGAGGCACTTAATAAACCACAATTTCCATTTTTGTCTTCCTTCCGTCTTGCCTCTTCCATAATAATATTTTTTGGCTTTGTGTCCCTCTTGTCAAACTTTAGACCAGGCTTTCTCAACAGCATGAATCACATTTTAGGCCAGGCAGTTCTTTGTTGTGGGGGGCTGTTCTGTGAACTGTAAGATTACAGTAGCATTCCTAGACTGTACTCACCAGATGCCAGGAGTACCAGTTGTGACAACCAAAAATGTCTCTAGACATTGCCAAATGTTCCTTGGGGAACAAAACTGCCCCCAATTGAGAACCACTGCTTTAGACTGAGAGTCTTTACAAGCAGGAGTCCTGGTGCTGAGTGCTCATGAACACTGACTAAAATTTAGTATTACCTAATACTTTGAAAAGTAGGATGCTTGAATATTTTCAGCAAAACATCCAGCTTCCTCCCCACAACTTTAAATTCTATGTGTACAGTATTATTTGGGTGTCAAATATACCAGCTGGGATCAGTCAAAATTATATGTGTAATATTTTATGCTTTACACATAAGGGGTAGAATATCAAGGAAAGTTTTTTCATTTAAACACTTTGGAGCCCTGGCTAGGTAGCTTAGTTGGTTAGAGTGTTGTCCCGATACACCATTGTTGTGGGTTCGATCTCTGGTCAGGGCATGTATAGGAATCAACCAATGAAGGCATAAATGAGTGAAACAAGAGATCAACGTTTCTCTCTCTTTCTCTCTCTCTCTCAAATCAATAACATTTAAAAAAATATAAAGCCTTTGGAGACTTTGGTTCTCCTTCACTTAAGATCACATCAATTCAATTATTTAGCTTTTAGGTCTGACAGTGAGTAACAAAGGAGCAACCAACCCAAGTATTTATGAATTAGAGGAATTCAAATATCCATCTGATTATACAGTCCATCATTTCACAAACTCTCCAACAGGAAAAATTCTAATCTAAAATATTCCTTTGTAAAAGAGCAAAACTATTCCTCTTGCTTATCCTCTGGGAACATAGCAAAGCACTGTTTTCAACTTTGAATTTCATAAAGGATATGTAAATTGCAGCTATTAGTGTTTGACACTTGGTGGACACCCTCAAAAATACTATGCGCATATGCTTATTTTGCAGCATGGGAACAGATGAAAGACCTTTTCCAAGTCCTTCTTCATTAATGGATTAGTTTACCTAATGTTAACCAGGCAGTATCCAGATTTTGTTGATCTTTCTAGCAAATGTTCCATCTTCCCTTCATAGCTAAATTCTTCACACATACCTGCTATTTCCATTTCTTCATGAACTATCTCTTTGATTTCACATTCTATTGAAGTTGCTGTTTGAAAGCTAAAAAAAGGAGACCTCTTCTGAAACAAATCCAATGGACTCTTCATTAGGCTCTTTTGGACTTTCCTGTTCCCTCTGAAAACAACGATCACTCTTTTCCTCTGGATATGTCTCAGCTTTAGTTAACGGATATGCTGGTCAGTACTGTGCCAGAATCTTTAAAAAAGTCCACATCACTTCTTCTGCACACCACTCATCCTTTCCTGCTTCCAGCAGTGCACAAAGGAAGGCTATGTCTTGAAAGACCTTTTTCACTCTCTGCCAGATGCAGTCTTTTTATAAGCCCATTCAAGACATCCTCCTCATGAAAATTTCCAATTGGGTTTGCTGTTTCCAGTAATGGAATCTCCCTGTACTTTACTGCAGTGTACACATATCATCTCACTAGAACCTAACTTCTCAGGAAAAGGGCTGTATTTTCTTTCTCCAGAATCCCTCGACAGCCTGAAGTAAAGCACTTGGCTTTTAGTAAACTCTCAGTTCAACGCTAGAATCAGGCTGCCTTTTCAGTCTTAAGATTAATGAAAAGCAAAAATACCATCCAGCATCTCTCTCTGTGTCAGCTGTTTAATGGCCTTTCCACCTTAGCTTCCACTTCTCAGGGAGACCATCGGCCGGGTTAGAAAAAGCCGCCACCAGATTACAGCACTTTCAGATGGGAAACTGGAAAGGGAGACGCTTGGGAGGGTCTCCAGATGTCCTTCCCTCATGACCCAGGGGTACTTTAATGAATAAGGCAGCCGTTCGGAAACTACGGAAGGGAGAATTAACACGCAGACCCTTAACGAAAACTTTCCTGAACCCTGGAACAGTTTTCTCTTGTACGCTTGCTAACTAAGCAGGTCTTTCTCTCCGACCTCCCCATCCGCCCCCGCCCCCGCCCGTGAGGACACTCAGGAGGGGTGGGAAGTCAAAATAACAGCACCAGGGTCTGGAAGGGGCTTTCGAGCACCCCGGGAGCGCCAGCATCTCTGAGGTTTCAGAACTGCGCGAAGGAAAGGGAAGGAGGAGGCACGACAGCTGGAGGAAGCTCCCCGCGCCGCTCTTCTCTTCAGCTTTGGGAGGTCGCCGGGACTCAGGACTCACCTTCTCTGAACCCGCGATGTGGAGGCCGAGCCCAGCTGGTCGCGGCCGGGCTTGCCAGGAGCCCTCGGAACAGCCGCCCACAGCCGGACGCCAGCACACAGAGAGCCGCCATCTTGAAGGCCAACTATGACCTCTGGGCACTTCCGCTTCCGGAACGGCGCACGCGCAGCCGCATTGGTGGGCGAGAACCGGGCGGCTTGTGGACTCCTCGCTCCGTTACTCCTGTCACTTCCTTTTCCCTCACCTTTCCAGCTTTTGGCTAAGGGGAGAGGGCTCTGTGTCAAGGCTGTGCTTCATTCCGAGGATCTAGGGGAGGTCTTCTAGCTCCTGTCTGTCAGTGCTCGAAGTCTCCAAGGTCGCTTTCGTTTCCGTGGTAAAATCGCATGAACTACCGCTCTATCTTGAAAGCTTTTTCTTCTCTGCAAATCAGATGTGGATTTTCAGCTTCCTGTGGCTGGAGCTAGGCCTCTACAGGAGAGGTTGAAATGGTTAGGAACTCTGGTTCTGGAGCATCCAGTATCAGGCAAACCTAGGGTAGAATTAATGTCTCCCCCTCCCCCACCCCATCTTTCATTCTCATCTTTGGCCAGGGCTTTTGCACAGCTGTTTCCTCTGTCTGCTCTTTGCCTACCTGGTAAACTCCTACTTATTTCTCAGAGCTCAGCTCAAACTTCCCTTCCACTGGAGTCTTCCTTAAAAACCTCCCTGTTACTGTTTCACAGCACCAGATACCGCTCCATCTTAGTACTTGGCATGATTGCAGTTTTATGTTTGTATAATATGTGTTTCCCCATCAGAGTGTGTGCTCCATGGAGGCAAGGACGTTGTTTTATGTTGACTGTCATATCTCCAGCACATAGCACAGTGCCTGACACATAATGAGAGCAATATATACTTTTTAAGTGAATGTAGAACCTATTTTATAGGGTTGTGGAGATTAGATGAGATAAAACAAGTGCACAATGAATGTAAGTTAATAGAGATGGCCATTGTGTTACACACTTCTCACAAGTTTGATGTACTTGCCTAATAAGGAAGTGTATAGTATCACAAAAACAATACAAAGGCTCAATTTTCCCTCTTTTGGGTTTGCAGGACATAACAGGATGTTCCCCTGGAGCTACATAAGAAAGGAAAGCCATTTACAGCTCAATTCTTCCACTTGGTGGTTAGGATATTCTTTTCCACCCTCCACAGTAAACCCGAAGGGGGATTTTCTAGTTACCCTACTCTGATTCATAGATGGGAAAATCAGCCTCGTTAAATGTCTCGGCATGTTTTCTGATGGGGGTGGGGAGCCTATCTTCCAGTTGGGACTGCCACCCTGGTGGACCAGGAGGATGCAGAGTAGCTGCTGCTTGGGGAGCTTGAATGACATCACCACAGACAAGAGCACAGGAGAAATGTGGCACTGGAGTATCTTAAAACATTGCGTTTAGCAAGGGCAGATCCTGGGAAGGGGAGACTTGAGAGGAAGGCCAGTCTAGATGTGTGAGACTGACACATGGTTAGGTGGAGGTGGAGCACAGGGTTTTGCTTGGGTATAGGTCTGGGTATCCTGGCCAGGATCAGGAAAGCCTTGGCTCTCCCTATAGCTCCCACTTTCCTTCTATACAAATGACCTTGAGTCCTTTCTGCTTGTATCACATCCCATTTCTAAGTCTCCAACTCCTGGCAATCCAGTAGGGACTGGGCAGTAACAGCTACACCCAAAGCTTGTTGTGCACATAGTGAACTAAACTATTGGAGTGCCAGCCCTCTCATTATCTTATCCTAACTTATCATAATCAAATTTTATTTTAAAAAACAAGTTGTATTTGTTACAATGACAAATAATGTGATCATTATAGAAAAATGAAATAGATAAAATATAAAGAAAATAAGTGTCATCTATAATTCAGAGATAAGCATTATTTACACTTACCAAATGAAATAATACTGTGCATATTCTTCATTTTGTAATATCTTATTTTTATGAATCCATTTATTTGTTCCTACATGAAAAAAATTTTCTGTGAGATAGATGTTTCTCAGAAGACTAGCCTTGAATTTTATTTTAAATTAAAGAATAACCTATATTAGAAAGTACACAAATTATGAGTGTACAGCCTCATAAATTTTCACAAAGGGAAACACTACCCACACCAACAAGTAGAAGATTGCTTACACTCCAGAAAATTCCCTGATGTCCCCTTTCAGACACTACACCTACCCCAAAGGTAATCATTATTTTGACTTTTAGCACTATAAATTACTTTTCCCTGCATCTGATCTTTATATAAATAGAGTCTTTCATAGCATGTACTCTTTGTGTCTGCTTTCATCTGCTCACCATATTTATGAGATTCATCCATATTATTATATATAGCTATCATTCGTTCATTCTGATTGCTGTATACTGTTCCACTGTGATTATACCACAATTTATTTATTCTTTCTTTTGTTGATAGGATTGGATACTTTCTGGTTGGGACTATTATAAATACTGTTGTGATGAACATTCTTCTATATGATTTTTGGTAAGCACAAGAACAAACCTGTCTCAGGAATATATCCAGGAGTGGAACTGTTGGGTTATAGGGTATGTATATACTCAGCTTTAGTAGATACTGCCTAACTGTTTTCCATAGTAATTGTACCAGTTTACTCTGGTACCATCTGTATATGAGAGTTCCAGTTGCTCTACATCTTTATCAGTATTTTTTTTGTATTTTTGTATTATGATCTTTTTTGTACTTTTTATCTTGGCCATTCTGGTGAATATGTATAAGCTCTCATTGTGTATTTAATTTATGCTTCTCTTATGACTAAAAAAGGTGAATCACTTTATAAGCCATTTAGATATCCTCTTTTTAAAATGTTTGTTCAAGTCTTTGGGCCATTTCATATTGGGTTGCCTGTTTTTCTCTTATTGATTTGTGGAAGTTCTTTATATATTCTGGATACTTGTCCTTTGTTGGATATATGTGCTGCAAATGTCATCTCCCTTTCTGTGGGTAGCCTTTTCATTCGTCTGCAGTATATTTTTTAATAAGCAGTATTTTAAATTTTAATATAGTACAATTTATAAGGTTTTCTCCTTTATGGTTGGCATTTTTGGTTTCTTATTTAAATATTTTCTCTCTTCAAGCTCATGAAGATGTTCTTCTATGTTTTCTTCCAAAAGCTTTATTGTTTTACCTCTCATATTTGATCTAAACTCATCTGGAATTGTTTTATTGTATGGCCTGAGATTGGGATTAAGATGCATTATTTTTCCTTAGAGATATCTGACACAGGAACATCATTTATTAAGAATATTATACTTCCCCCCATTGCATTTTATCTGGTGTGGATCTGTTTCTGAAATTTCTATTTGGTTCCATTGGTCCTTTAGTCCCATTTGTAGTGGCTGTATACTATTTCACTGTCTGGAGGTGCCATAACTTACTCAACCAATCCCCAATTGCTAGGCATTTAGGTTGCTTTTAATTTGAATGTATTTTATAAGACCTACCTCCCTGTTCCAAAAACAGCATCTTCTATGTCATCATTGTGTTTCATATACCCCTTTCCCCCGTTGGGTATGTTGTGGATTTTTTTTTTTTTTAATACAACTGTGTTGTGGAAAAGGGAGTGAGGGCTCTTTTCCGGGGGCTGCAAATGATAGCTGCCACCCAATTTAAGGGCCTTTCCTTGTTTAAAACTTTTTTATTTATTGATTTTAGAGATAGAGGAAGGAAGGGAGGGAGGGAGGGAGGGAGGGAGGGAGGAAGGAAGATCTGTTCCACTAATTTATGCATTTCTTAGTTGTTTCTTTTATGTGCCCTGATGGGGATCAAATCTTCAACCTTGGTATATTGGACGATGCACTAACCAACTGAGCTCCCTGGCCAGCTCGAAGTGCCTCTCAAGAGCCAGAGTTTCTGGGGCTGTTAGCAGTCACTGTCCTGCATGGGAAGAACTATTTCCAGTTCCAGGAGCAATCCTGGAGCATGGAGAGCATCAGTGACACTGTATGCACATCTATGAGAGAAGGGAGGCTGACGAACCACTTCTCACCCTGACAAAATTTTCTTTCCACCCCATCTCCTGAGGAGCCCATCCTCCCTGTTTCCACACATTTCCACACAAATCCTTTTTTCATCTACCCCTCATCCTGGACCGTATCTTAAATTGGGAAGTAAGTAACTCAAGTCCCAAGTAACCTGTCCAAATGAAGATGTTCAGGGTAACAGTCACAAACCCAGAAATGTTCATTTTGCCAAGAAAAACTTAAACTCCCAGCAGAAATGATCTAGTTTAGTGACTTGATTCCGGCCAACGGGACAGTCTGCTCACGCCAGAGCAAAGGCAAGAGTTAGGAGGCCATGGGCGGGTCAGCCTGTCTATGGCTTCGGGGCTGAGGAACTTTGGTCCCAGCTGTGGATGAATGTGCTCTTCCAGCCTTCCTCCCACCTCGCCCAGGAAGAGTGGGTCAGAGCCAAGAGCCACACAGATGTTCACCGTGAATGAGCGGAGGCAATGAAAAGGCGCAGGAAGGTGGAGGGAGCTGATCTGGTAGAAACCATGATGGGAGGGAGCTGCTAGAGAAACCAGGAGAAAGGACTGGCAGAGTGAGTGACTGTCAGGTTTGCTTTCTCCTAATTAATGTGGTTTCCTTACAAAACCCCCTGCTCATTCCCAGCTGGTGGAAGCAACCATAACAACATGTGGCCTGCCCTGACTGGGCTGGGAGCTGAGGCTGGGAGCCTCCCAGGAAGGGTCTGGTTTCATTTGCAGCCTCTGCCCCTCCTCCCCAGCTGGCTATGTGCAGATAGGAAGGAACAGTACCTCAATTGGGGGAGAATATTGGGGAGAATCAGCAGGACTGATTGTTTTGGGCTTGCCTGGTTGCTCACCTTGGTTTCCCATGACTTTTTAAAAAGGGCAGTTCCTGCTTGTTGGGCTACTGCCTCCAAGCAGGTATGAATGGGGGTGGGTGAGGAGACCTTGGACAGAGAACCCCTGCTCTGTGGTGGCCTCTCTACAGGTGTGCCATGTTTGACGCAATGGGCCAGGAAACAATTGTGGTGTGTCTAGAGCCCTTGCTAATTCAGTGTTTTTCATCGATTTTTCAGGGTTGCTTCTTTTCCTCACTAGAGCTCTCTGTCCAAGTTATTCATCTTATCCCCTCGTTTGTTCATTGATTCATTTCACCTGCAAGTATCAGTTGAGTAGCTACTATGTGCCTTTTGTAAACAAATGATTACATGCAAGGGATGTGTGTAGGGGGGAATCTCTAGGGGTGAAAGCTCTTGTCTCACAAAGAAACATTTTGTAAACTAGATGATGACCCTGGGATTTATTTGCTTTCTCCCAACCTGCCCTGTTAAAAAAATTTTTTTTTTAAATAGTAAAGTAAAACACATGCAGTAGAAGTACATAAAATCTAAATGTATCATATAACAGATTAATTGTAAAACAAAACTGTTTCATTTCTATACTGGATCACGAGGGCATGTTGT